CATCGCATCACCATCGCATCACCATCGCATCACCATCGCATCACCATCGCATCACCATCGCATCACCATCGCATCACCATCGCATCACCATCGCATCACCATCGCATCACCATCGCATCACCATCGCATCACCATCGCATCACCATCGCATCACCATCGCATCACCATCGCATCACCATCGCATCACCATCGCATCACCATCGCATCACCATCGCATCACCATCGCATCACCATCGCATCACCATCGCATCACCATCGCATCACCATCGCATCACCATCGCATCACCATCGCATCACCATCGCATCACCATCGCATCACCATCGCATCACCATCGCATCACCATCGCATCACCATCGCATCACCATCGCATCACCATCGCATCACCATCGCATCACCATCGCATCACCATCGCATCACCATCGCATCACCATCGCATCACCATCGCATCACCATCGCATCACCATCGCATCACCATCGCATCACCATCGCATCACCATCGCATCACCATCGCATCACCATCGCATCACCATCGCATCACCATCGCATCACCATCGCATCACCATCGCATCACCATCGCATCACCATCGCATCACCATCGCATCACCATCGCATCACCATCGCATCACCATCGCATCACCATCGCATCACCATCGCATCACCATCGCATCACCATCGCATCACCATCGCATCACCATCGCATCACATCCCATCGCATCACCATCGCATCACCATCGCATCACCATCGCATCACCATCGCATCACCATCGCATCACCATCGCATCACCATCGCATCACCATCGCATCACCATCGCATCACCATCGCATCACCATCGCATCACCATCGCATCACCATCGCATCACCATCGCATCACCATCGCATCACCATCGCATCACCATCGCATCACCATCGCATCACCATCGCATCACCATCGCATCACCATCGCATCACCATCGCATCACCATCGCATCACCATCGCATCACCATCGCATCACCATCGCATCACCATCGCATCACCATCGCATCACCATCGCATCACCATCGCATCACCATCGCATCACCATCGCATCACCATCGCATCACCATCGCATCACCATCGCATCACCATCGCATCACCATCGCATCAACCATCGCATCACCATCCCATCGCATCACCATCGCATCACCATCGCATCACCATCGCATCACCATCGCATCACCATCGCATCACCATCGCATCACCATCGCATCACCATCGCATCACCATCGCATCACCATCGCATCACCATCGCATCACCATCGCATCACCATCGCATCACCATCGCATCACCATCGCATCACCATCGCATCACCATCGCATCACCATCGCATCACCATCACCATCGCATCACCATCGCATCACCATCGCATCACCATCGCATCACCATCGCATCACCATCGCATCACCATCGCATCACCATCGCATCACCATCGCATCACCATCGCATCACCATCGCATCACCATCGCATCACCATCGCATCACCATCGCATCACCATCGCATCACCATCGCATCACCATCGCATCACCATCGCATCACCATCGCATCACCATCGCATCACCATCGCATCACCATCGCATCACCATCGCATCACCATCGCATCACCATCGCATCACCATCGCATCACCATCGCATCACCATCGCATCACCATCGCATCACCATCGCATCACCATCGCATCACCATCGCATCACCATCGCATCACCATCGCATCACCATCGCATCACCATCGCATCACCATCGCATCACCATCGCATCACCATCGCATCACCATCGCATCACCATCGCATCACCATCGCATCACCATCGCATCACCATCGCATCACCATCGCATCACCATCGCATCACCATCGCATCACCATCGCATCACCATCGCATCACCATCGCATCACCATCGCATCACCATCGCATCACCATCGCATCACCATCGCATCACCATCGCATCACCATCGCATCACCATCGCATCACCATCGCATCACCATCGCATCACCATCGCATCACCATCGCATCACCATCGCATCACCATCGCATCACCATCGCATCACCATCGCATCACCATCGCATCACCATCGCATCACCATCGCATCACCATCGCATCACCATCGCATCACCATCGCATCACCATCGCATCACCATCGCATCACCATCGCATCACCATCGCATCACCATCGCATCACCATCGCATCACCATCGCATCACCATCGCATCACCATCGCATCACCGCATCCGCATCACCATCGCATCACCATCGCATCACCATCGCATCACCATCGCATCACCATCGCATCACCATCGCATCACCATCGCATCACCATCGCATCACCATCGCATCACCATCGCATCACCATCGCATCACCATCGCATCACCATCGCATCACCATCGCATCACCATCGCATCACCATCGCATCACCATCGCATCACCATCGCATCACCATCGCATCACCATCGCATCACCATCGCATCACCATCGCATCACCATCGCATCACCATCGCATCACCATCGCATCACCATCGCATCACCATCGCATCACCATCGCATCACCATCGCATCACCATCGCATCACCATCGCATCACCATCGCATCACCATCGCATCACCATCGCATCACCATCGCATCACCATCGCATCACCATCGCATCACCATCGCATCACCATCGCATCACCATCGCATCACCATCGCATCACCATCGCATCACCATCGCATCACCATCGCATCACCATCGCATCACCATCGCATCACCATCGCATCACCATCGCATCACCATCGCATCACCATCGCATCACCATCGCATCACCATCGCATCACCATCGCATCACCATCGCATCACCATCGCATCACCATCGCATCACCATCGCATCACCATCGCATCACCATCGCATCACCATCGCATCACCATCGCATCACCATCGCATCACCATCGCATCACCATCGCATCACCATCGCATCACCATCGCATCACCATCGCATCACCATCGCATCACCATCGCATCACCATCGCATCACCATCGCATCACCATCGCATCACCATCGCATCACCATCGCATCACCATCGCATCACCATCGCATCACCATCGCATCACCATCGCATCACCATCGCATCACCATCGCATCACCATCGCAATCACCATCGCATCACCATCGCATCACCATCGCATCACCATCGCATCACCATCGCATCACCATCGCATCACCATCGCATCACCATCGCATCACCATCGCATCACCATCGCATCACCATCGCATCACCATCGCATCACCATCGCATCACCATCGCATCACCATCGCATCACCATCGCATCACCATCGCATCACCATCGCATCACCATCGCATCACCATCGCATCACCATCGCATCACCATCGCATCACCATCGCATCACCATCGCATCACCATCGCATCACCATCGCATCACCATCGCATCACCATCGCATCACCATCGCATCACCATCGCATCACCATCGCATCACCATCGCATCACCATCGCATCACCATCGCATCACCATCGCATCACCATCGCATCACCATCGCATCACCATCGCATCACCATCGCATCACCATCGCATCACCATCGCATCACCATCGCATCACCATCGCATCACCATCGCATCACCATCGCATCACCATCGCATCACCATCGCATCACCATCGCATCACCATCGCATCACCATCGCATCACCATCGCATCACCATCGCATCACCATCGCATCACCATCGCATCACCATCGCATCACCATCGCATCACCATCGCATCACCATCGCATCACCATCGCATCACCATCGCATCACCATCGCATCACCATCGCATCACCATCGCATCACCATCGCATCACCATCGCATCACCATCGCATCACCATCGCATCACCATCGCATCACCATCGCATCACCATCGCATCACCATCGCATCACCATCGCATCACCATCGCATCACCATCGCATCACCATCGCATCACCATCGCATCACCATCGCATCACCATCGCATCACCATCGCATCACCATCGCATCACCATCGCATCACCATCGCATCACCATCGCATCACCATCGCATCACCATCGCATCACCATCGCATCACCATCGCATCACCATCGCATCACCATCGCATCACCATCGCATCACCATCGCATCACCATCGCATCACCATCGCATCACCATCGCATCACCATCGCATCACCATCGCATCACCATCGCATCACCATCGCATCACCATCGCATCACCATCGCATCACCATCGCATCACCATCGCATCACCATCGCATCACCATCGCATCACCATCGCATCACCATCGCATCACCATCGCATCACCATCGCATCACCATCGCATCACCATCGCATCACCATCGCATCACCATCGCATCACCATCGCATCACCATCGCATCACCATCGCATCACCATCGCATCACCATCGCATCACCATCGCATCACCATCGCATCACCATCGCATCACCATCGCATCACCATCGCATCACCATCGCATCACCATCGCATCACCATCGCATCACCATCGCATCACCATCGCATCACCATCGCATCACCATCGCATCACCATCGCATCACCATCGCATCACCATCGCATCACCATCGCATCACCATCGCATCACCATCGCATCACCATCGCATCACCATCGCATCACCATCGCATCACCATCGCATCACCATCGCATCACCATCGCATCACCATCGCATCACCATCGCATCACCATCGCATCACCATCGCATCACCATCGCATCACCATCGCATCACCATCGCATCACCATCGCATCACCATCGCATCACCATCGCATCACCATCGCATCACCATCGCATCACCATCGCATCACCATCGCATCACCATCGCATCACCATCGCATCACCATCGCATCACCATCGCATCACCATCGCATCACCATCGCATCACCATCGCATCACCATCGCATCACCATCGCATCACCATCGCATCACCATCGCATTATTTCTTCTCTTTCTTCTCAAGAGTCACTCACCGTGACAAACAGCATCTCCAGCACGGGCAGCTCCGAGAAATGTTTCCCCTTGCTGACCGCAGTGGCCACCTGCTGCGTGAGCTGCCCGGCAATGCCCCACAGGGAGGAGGCGTGCGAGCAAGAGTGCTTTAGAGGCAGCCCCGAGTCAAACACCCCGATGGCCGAAGAGGGGAGCGCGGGGTCGCAGTACTGACGACAGTCAATGAGGCTGTTGGGATGGTAGAGGAGGCAGAGAGCGGAAGGAAGGAGGTAGAGGGGAAAGGAGAGGAGTGGTTGAGAGGCAAACCCGAGTCAAACACCCTGCCTTGAGCGCAGCCGCACACTGCACGCCGTACAGATGGTGCAGTGATGTGCTTTGCGGTACTGTGAGGTGCTGTCAAGTGCTGTGAGGTGGTGCTGTCACCCACCCACCCGGTGACACTGAAGGACTCGTCCTTCTTGAGCTTCAGCTCCTCTGCAGCCGCCTTGAGTGCTGCAGCACACTGCACTCCATACAGATGTCGCCGTGATGTGCTGTGCGGCACTGTGAGGTGCTGTCAAGTGCTGTGAGGTAGTGCTGTGTGGGCCCGGGCCGCCCACCCACCTGGTGATGCCGAACGACTCGTCCTCCTTCAGCTTCAGCTCCTCTGCAGCTGCCTTGAGTGCAGCAGCACTCTGCACGCCGTACAGCAAGCTGTGACAATAGCTGGTGCTGTGACGTGCTGTGTCCCTACTGTGAGGTGCTGTGCGGTACTGCGAGGTTGTGTTGTGTGAGCCCAAGCCACCCACCCACCTGGTGACGCCAAACGACTCGTCCTTCTTGAGCTTCAGCTCCTCTGCAGCTGCCTTGAGCACCGCGGCACACTGCACGCCGTACAGCGAGCTGCCCCTCGCCTCGCATGCACTCTTGAGCGCATCAGTCTCTGTGCGGACATGGATAGAGGGGGATGGGACAAGGGAGGTTGTGTAATGAGAGTCCGTCTCACAGCCGCCTTGAGCGCAGCCGCACACTGGCACCGTACACCGTGCAGCATGGCGGAGTGGGAGGAGTGGGAGGAGTGGGAGGAGTGGGAGGAGTGGGAGGAGTGGGAGGAGTGGGAGGAGTGGGAGGAGTGGGAGGAGTGGGAGGAGTGGGAGGAGTGGGAGGAGGCAGCAAGGCCCCCTATGGCAAAACCGAACCCACGGAGTACTAAACCCTATGGCATAACCCCATGGAGGAGGTGCAGAGATTTGAGGAGGCTGTGCTAGCGTTGGAGCAGAGACTGACAAAGAAAGAGAAGTCCTCCTTTGCTAAAAGAAAGAATTGTAGGGCCAGGAGGGGCTCATGCTTGAAGTGCATAGAGCCCCACATGGCCTTGCAAATCTGTCTTCTTAGCGAGGATCGAATTCGTTTCCCTTGGCCAGATCTGCCCCATCACTAGCACGGCCTCTTCGAACCTCTACACATCCTCCCTAGTGGCAGTACAGCAAAGAGTTAGAAGGCGGCATACCCCGCATGATAGCTAGCCTACCCACCCACCCACCCACCCACGCACCTTGCTTGGAGAGGTGGATGGGGATGATCTCGGAGCGAAAGTGGTTCTTCCTAGAATCAGCACAGCCCCACCTGATAGCTAGCATACCCACCCCACCTAACCCACACACCCATCCACCGACACACCCATCCACCCATCCATCCATCCCCACACTCACGCACCTTGCTTGGAGAGATGGATGGGGATGATCTCGGAGCGGAAATGGTTCTTGAGCGAGTCAGCACAACCAGGCTGGAAGGGCAGCACGGCAGAATGAGAGGAGGCGGCATACCCCACCGCGTCCACCATCTTGGTGAAAAAGCCCTTCGCCTGCGCGCCCTTGGGCATGAGGGAGGAAAGAGAGGGCGGAAGAGACACCCCTGTGCTAGGCCTGGGGGAAAGAGAGGGGAAGACGGGTGTTGGCAACGGGGCATACAGGGTTGAGGGGTTGAGTGGGGCGCGCACTAGGCTGGTGAAGATGGGGTGGAGTGAGAGACGAGGGAGAGCACAGCCGCGAGGAGAAGAAGGAGAAGGGAGGACACGAGGCATACAAGATTGCTGGTGAAGAAGGGGCGGAGCCAACAAGCATAGCCGCGAGGGCGGAGACGAAGGCACGGGCGGAGGAAGTAGGGGAGGACACGAGGTACACACGGTTGTGCCGTGAGGGGCGTACCAGGTTGGGGAAGAAGGGGCAGAACCAGCGAGCACAGCCGCGAGGGCGGAGAGAAAGGCGCGGGCGACAGAGAGAGCGGAGGAGCGATCGAAGGCAGCGCAGTGGCCTCTCAGAACGATACACGTGGCGAGCTCAGAGGGGTACACGTGGACCTGTGACAGGCGAAGGGGGGAGAGGAGGGAGGGGAAGGGGAGGGGAGGGGAGGACAGGATGCTGACGAGTAAGAAAAAGAGGAAACTCCGAGAGGCAATGAGCTTCCTTCCTGTGCAGTGAAAAAGAGGAAACCCTTTCTTTTAGGCGCCCCACAACTAGACCTTGAGAGCTCTCAAGAATCTCTCACAAGGACCCTTGAGACCACAAGGGACACATTCACCACCACCTGCCTCGCAGTCTCAGCGCCTCCTTCCATTCACTACCCTTGACGGGGGAACACCAACGCCATAGGCTGCCTCGAAAGCCACTCACCTGGAACACGTCGGTCGGTTCTTCATCCTTCTCCCCCACGGCCGCCATGAGCGTGTTCATCTCCGCCTGAGTCACCAGCCTCAGCGCCTCCTCCGACTCACTAGCGCCCAGTCGCTACCGCTGAGACGGTCAACAGTGGCTCACCTGGAACACGTCAGTCGGCTCTTCATCCTTCTCCCCCACCACGGTCGCCATGGGTGTATTCATCTCCACCTGAGTCACCAGCCTCAGCGCCTCCTCCGACTCACTAGCGCCCAGCGTGCTCGCCCCATCAACGCCCAGCACATCTTGCCACGAGCACGCAGCAACGGGGACAGCAGGGGGAGCGTCCCCAGACACGCGGAGCTCCCAGTGCGGCTTGGGCTTTTGCACCCTGATGATCTTTGCAGCGAGGATGGGTGCTGGGACGCCGCCAGAGCTGCTGCTGCTGCCACCTGGTGGGAGGGAGGGGAGGGAGGGGAGGTAGGGGACGTGAGACAGGTAAGACACAGCAGGGGGAGCGTCCCCAGACACGCGGATCTCCCAGTGGGGCTTGGGATTGGGCGCCCTGATAATCTTCGCAGCAAGGATGGGGTGCTGGGACGCCGCCAGAGTTGCTGCCGTTTTCACCTAGTGAGAGAGGGAGGGGGAGACAAGTGAGACTCAGCGGGGGGAGTGACAGCACGCACGCGGGCTCCCAGTGCGGCTTGGGCTTTTGCACCCTGATGATCTTAGCGGCCAGGATGGGGTGTTGAGACGCCGCCAGCGCTGCTGCCGATTTAACCTGGTAAAGGGAGGGGGGGGGGGAGAGGAATTGAGGGGAGGGGATGTGAGACAAGTGAGACACAGAAGGGGGAGCGTCAGCAGACACGCGGATCTCCCACTGCGGCTTGGGCTTTTGCACCCTGATGATCCTGGAGGCGAGAATGGGGTATTGAGATGCGGCCAGAGCAGCTGCCGTCGCAACCTGGTAAGGGGGAGCGGGAGGGGGAGGGGGGGGGATGTGAGACAAGTGGGACACAACGGGGGGGGCGACGCACGCGGATCTCCCAGTGTGGCTCGGGCTTGGCAGCCAGGATGGGGTGTTGGGACGCCGCCAGAGCTGTTAGGACGTGCGCCAGGATGAGCTGCTGCCAAATCCGTTGTAACCTGGTGGGCGGGGCGGGGTGTGCGTCGAGGGGAGTGTGAGGCAATTCAGAGGTCTACTTCGCAACCTCTTTGCAACACTTTCGTGACTCTTTGAAACTCGATCTCGCTCGTTGCGAAACCGTGAGGTGTGTATCTGACGTGCGGATTGAAGACCAAAAGCCACAGCATCCAACGCACCTGGTCCAGCGAAATGGTTCGCGAAAAGCGCAGCGTGGTAACACTCAGTCCCGTGCCCGTCTTGCTCGCCCGCTGCCACAGCTCCTCGTTGCTCGCGAGCGCGCGGGAAGCCATTGACTTGCGTTTAGAAACGATTCGTAACAAGGAGGTAGGAGAGGACGGTAAGATAGCAGAAGGTCTTCAAACGGAACGAATTAATGATAGACGAGAGTAGCAGGACAATTCGCGACTGTTATATATTTTGTCTTGCGGGATCCGCGGCTGACGCTGGGCATTGGAAGATCAGATGAGGTCTGCGGAGGGGGCACGTCAGCGCGACTCGTGATGATCCGTAGTGCCGGCTGTGCGGGTGACGGTGTGGCAGCATCTTGACGCGACATGAATTGGCGTCGTGAAATCGACGTCGCGAAACGGACGACGTACGACTGACGTCGTCAAACGACGCTTCCGAACAGTCGTAAAGGAGAGACGTTGACATTTGGACAGGAGAGAGACGTTTCGGGAGATTGATTTCAACACAGGGTCCACAGGTTTCAAAGGGGTAGGACGGCTAGTTAGTGGCGAGTGCCTGATTCGACCGCGACCTGAACGAGTGCCGAAAATGGGGACGTGACGTGACTTGACGTGTGACGGCTGCAAAAAAGCGGCTGGAAGGAAACGGGGAGCCAGGATGGGGGGCATCCCATCATCTGCCGCTTTTGAGGACGCGGTGCAAGTGCAAATATCGCAGGATCGTCTGCAAATATCGAGCCCCACAATCGAGTGGGCAGATCGATTGGCGAAACGTGGCGACCGCGACATTGTAACGATCGTCCCTTTGAAATTGACAGATCTCCCGCGATCAGTGATCAGTCGCATTCGCACACTGTACAGAAATTTTGGCAAAAAAGCGTACTGTAGCATAGTTACAGCGTAGTAAATAGGGTAACCAATCTGCACATCAATCGTGACCTCCGATCGATCGTCTACTTTCACCGCGTCCTGAGAACTTCTGGGTGTTCTTTCAAAGTTTCCAGTTTCTGTATCGATGTTTTCAGAAAGGTGAATTGCGTTTCAGAGTGGTGAGGAATGCAAACCGCTTTACAGAGCACACCATCCCATCCCACCCGACCAGATTTTCTGTGCAGGAAGTGAACACTCCAGGGTCACGGTGGACGAAATTTGATATCCTTTATAATATGACGTCTTATTGTTATTAGCACATATGTACTATTTGTATTGAATTTGTGTTGTAAGCCGACAGCAAAAATAGGTATTTCGCAGATACATTATCAGTCAAAGCTCGTGTGTTTTCTTGCTACAGTAGCAATTCAAATTGACAGTGCTCTGACAATCTCGGTGGCCTGGCCGGGTGGCAGCTCCCAAGGGTGTGCGAAAAAGGCGCGTACTTTTGAACCGACTCCGTCGCGCGCCCCTGAAGCTCTCATGTGCCGCGCCACGGCCATTTTCCCTCCACCCGAACCACGAATTGACGAATCTTTTGACCAAAGTCCCCTCCATTTGCAGCGGAGCTGCCCAAGGTTTGGACGGAACGGAACCCATACCATATCGTCCCTAGGCAGTTCCCGTCCCGTCGTCGCATCCGTCAGTTTCGCAAACGGAGCAAATATAACTGCAGTTTCTGGAGAGGAGACTAAAGCCACGGGACTGGACGTCAGCTTTGTAGGGGCACCGACGCCGTCGCACCCCGTGCTGTCCGTACGATTTGGCTCGACGGAGGCTGTCGGAGCTCCGGCTCGGTTCCTTAGAGAGCTTCCCCAGTTCACTCTGCTTGGGAGTGTCTTCGTTCCCCTCGCACCGCACAGCCTGTAGGATTCGCCATGTGCCTTGGGATTGTCTTTCCGTCATTTGTGGAATGCGCCAAACCGAGCCACCAGCGCGAACTGTTCGCTCATTCATTGCACAGGGATTCCCACGAGTTTACTGAGAACCTCCTCTTAGACTTAGCCATAGAGTCTAGCAGGACGGAACACACATTTTAGTCGCCTTCGTTGGCTCGGATGGCTTTTGACATGCTGACGTTTTCTGGTAGTAACCCGACGGAGCAGGCGGTAATATTGTCAAGCACGCATTAGTCAAGCAGTCCTAAAGGGAGCTAGACGTCCAAGCTATTCTCTTGTTCGTGTAGGTCTATCGGCTAGTCAGATAAGAAATCCGATCAAACATCTGTATTTTCTTTGTTAATCAAGTATTATAGAACCATGTGGCACAGCAAGAAGGCGAAAGGCGGGAAACACGGAGGCAAGATGCTCGCTTGCTTCGGTGGAACCATCCCGGTAGCGTCCAGCTCTTTCGCAGACGGTCGCCAGAAATCGCTCAAGTCGCACGAAGGCCTGCGAATGGCCGCGGCGACCCTTGAAGACAGCGACTATGACGGCGACCATCTCACGACCGCCAAGCGAGTGAGGCTCCACTTTTGATTGAGAATCCTCTTTTTTCTACCGCAGTCAATTCTCACAGATTAGCACTATCTCAGCTCTCATTAAGTTAATGAAGAACTTTCTTCTTGGATTAATTTGATGTGTTTTTCTTTTTACTTTCTTAGATCCTAACTCTTCTTGCATTGTGGATCCTACTCTATTGTCGGTTTCAGAAATCTGAGCGAGGGCTCGTTTCTCAATTCTCTCTCACACACGTCTCGTCCATGCTGCACGTCGATTTTCCCTCCGACTGAAAAAATTGCTGTTTGCTGTCTTCTTGCTCTCTCGCGTCTCGTCCATGCAGGATAATTCCCCTTTCTCCCAGGGCAAGAGAAGTGTTCTGCTCTCGACCGGCGGGACCCGCGTCTTCCCAACCAACGAATCCCCGAATCCACGTCAGCCGTTTTCCTCAGCCAACGGGCCCACGTGGCCAGATAAGTCTTTCTCGCAGCCGAACCCGAACACAGAAGCCGCAGCCGCAGCCGCTACAGCCAAAGCCGCAGCCGAAGGAATTCTCCCTCCTCTCGGTGCAACTGAAGCTAAGTATATACGACATAGTCACCAGCTGAACCATCCCCCGCATCTTCACCACCCTAAAGCCGTCACGCCGGATGCTGACGTGGCCGCCGCGACCGCCATCGCCGCTGCAGCCGTAGTTGGGCCTGCTGTTCCTGTCGCGTCGCGTTCCGTGAAGCCGCTTAGTCATCATACCAATGGCGGGACGGGTAGATCTGGCGGGAGAGAAGGGGAGAAGGCGCAAGTCGCGCGATTTAAGGAAGAGGTTGAGGACGAGGAGGACACGTCATGCAGTAGCGAGTCCGCGAGAGCCGCCGGATCTTCCGTGGGCTCCTGCGAGAGCACGTGCTTCCGAGTGCCACGTGGCGGGATGGGGTTTGGCGCGGGAATTGCGGAGAGCAGCGAGGAGCTGGACGAGTTGAGACTGGAAGTTGCGGAGCTGAGGCGGCGAGTGGCGAGGCACGAGGAGGAGGCGAAGAAGCTGCGAGATGAGGTAAAGTGGGGTTACCAGAAACGCACGTCGCAGATGTATAACAACGCTCGTAAAAAGCTATGCCACCCTCCTTTATTTTAGCTACCGCCGGCCCGCCAGTTGCTACCACCCACATTCACTCATCCCCCCTCTTCTATGTCTCATTATCTCCCCTTCGCCCTCCCATCCCCCTTCTTGCCTTTGACTCCAGGTGCTCTATCTTCGAGCTTGCGGCTACGAGATGCACTTAGCTAAGAGCCAGCAGCAGCAGGGGCGCGTTCTCACACCAGCGACCAGCGCCTCACGGTTACCGTTCCAGGACGTGGGCAACCTTCCGGCAGCCGTGCCCGGGACCATCTTAAACACGTTTGGGAATCCCGAGAATGCAATGTCGAGCTTAGAGATGATGATGGGGATGCGTGTAGCGGGGATGGCTGAGAACGCAGAGCTCAGGGGTTCTGAATCAGCAGGAGGCGGAAGAGGAGGAGGAGCAGGAGTGGTGGATGAAGGATCGGCGGTAGAATTAGCCGCAGCAAGAGTGGAAGCAGGGAAGGTAGGACGAGGCTGGGAGCAGCACGAGCAGGGGCAGAAGGAGAACAGGGAGAATTGGGAGATTAGGCAGCCTGAGAACGGTTCGAATGGGTTGAGCGGTTTGAACGGTTGTCAGGAACAAGCCAGTCCGCGAGGAACGGGAGGGGTACAGGAGAGAGGGCGTGTGCAGGATAGGGGGAGTGTGGGCGTGCGGGATCCGAGGGGTAATGCGAGTAGTGGTGATGGGTTGTCCGTCCTGCCCCCCCTCTGGGCATCTGATTCCCCTTCCAAAGAGAATGGTCACAGGGAGGGTGGCGGGGCACGTGGCAGTGCTGCTGCTGCTGCTGCTGGGGAAGCTGATGTGGCGGTGGTACCAGCAGCTCTTTTCTCTCCTCGTCCCGCTGCCACATCAGCATGCCCTGTTCTGCCGACAAGGCCTGCCACGTCACCAGCCGTCGCGCGGCCGCCGGTGTACAGCGGGCGAGCAAGTCTGGAAAAGATGAGGCCGCCGCCTATAAAGGGGATGCCCCTGCCGTGGGAGTCGGTTGATGACGTGGCGAATCTGCAGGCTGCGATTGGCCGCCAGGGGGATGGAGGTAGTGGTGTTGTTGTTGCTGCTGCTGCTGCTACTGGGAAGGAGGGAAGGGTTTACACTGTAGGAGAAGGGATAGGAGAGCAGGTGGAGCAGGGTAAGCAGGTGGGACAGAGGGAGGAGGGAGAGCAGGTTGTAGGCAGGAGCGTGGAGGCTGGGACGACTGGGGCGGGAGGTGTGGGGCTGGCAAGATCAGGTTCGGGAAGCAGTGCGGTGAAGAGCGGTGGGAGGAGGACTGGGCCTGCCCTGGTGTGGCGAGTGGTGAACGGAGAGGGTGTGTGGACGCTGGCTGGGATGGAGGGGTCACAGGAACAGGCAAGCCAGACTGCTGTGGGGGAGACTTTTGAGTCGACTCAAAAGTCACCTCGGCGAGAGGTGAACGGAGAGGGAGTGTGGACGCTGGCTGGGATGGACGGGTCACAGGAACTGGAAAGCCAAGCTGCTGTGGGGGTAGGTTCTGCCAATGCCCCTTGTGCTGCTGCGCCTGATGCTGCTGATGCTGTTGCTGCTGCTGGTTCTGCCACTCCTCGTGCTGCCGCAGCTGCTGCTGGTGCAGTGGGTGCAGCAGCAGCAGCAGTTGGAGCGGAAACAGCAGCAATAGCGGCGGCATCAGGAGTAAAGACAGCAGCAGCAGTGGACCACGGCTCGGCAGTGGAAGCATGGCTGGATGGAACAGCAGGGAACCTGATACATTCACCCTCGATAGACGAACCGGCATGGGCGGTGGGCGTGTGGGAGGAGGCAGGAATGAGCGCGGAGCAGGGAGGGGCACTGCAAGGGTATTCTCATGTGGCGACATGTGAGAATGATCTGCAGCTGCATCCCACAAACCCCTTCCTCTCCGCGCCAGCTGCTGATGGCTTGGTCTGGGAAGAACATGGCGCTCCCATTGCAGCATCCGCGTTACAGGTGGGCCCGTTAGAGGTGGCAGCGGCGAATGGAACAGTGTCGACGACAGCAGCAGCTGCTCCCGCGGAGTGTTTTCTGGTAGCGAGCCGACCAAAGCACGAGCAGCAGCAGCAGCTGAATGTGACAGAGGCGGCGCAGGACCACCAGGGAGAGAAGGTGAAAGGAAAGAGTGCGATGAAAGGCGCTGCTCCTCGCACTGCTGCTAACGCTACACTCCCCACCACAACACTCCCTGCCACACCTCCCACTGCCACACCCCTTGGTGCTCCGCCAACCGCTGCTGCCCCCACCACTCCCTTTGCTGACGCTATTACCCCAACCTCCAGTGCACCCGGACTGGCCAATCCTGCTTCGCCAGCTGGACTGCCAGCTGGACTGCCAGCAGGGCCGGAGGCGAAGCCAGCGCTGTGGGCAGCAGCAGTGGCAGCAGCGACAATGATGACCCCCACTGCCGCCCGGATATCCGACCTCCTCTTTGGCTCCTCCCCCTCTCCCTCCGGTCCTTCTGACCTCACCCCTCCCTCTGGTTCCTCTGACCCCACCCCTCACTCTGCCCCCTGTCCGCCCGCTGATAGTTTCTCTCTGGGTGTGAGCCAGGGCTTGAGGGGAGGGGCAGGGGGAGCAGGAGCAGAAGGGGAGAGCGTGGGGGCGAGGAGGAAGGGAGTGGGGGAGTCAGATAGCTCGCTCACGCTGGTGCGAGGGGCGTCGTGTCGAAGCTCTGTTGACACGCCCGGGTTTGCAGCGGGTGGTGGTGCTGGTAATCGTTCCTCCCTGCCTGCTGTGAGGGGTGAAAGGCGAGGGGAGTGGGAGGGGGAGAGTGAGGGGGAAGGGAGCGAGGAGGAGAGTGAGGTGGAGAGTGAGGGGGAGAGTGAGCAGGAAAACGAGGGGGAAGAGAGTGAGGAGGAGAGTGAGAGCGACTACAGTGAGAGTGGAAGCAGTAGTGATGAGGACGAAGAGGAGGAGGAGGAGGAGGAGGAGGAGGAGGAGGAGGAGGAGGAGGAGGAAGAAGAGGAAGAGGAGGAGAGGGGTGAGGGTGGGAAGGTGGTTGGGGGGGAGAAGAGTGCCACAGAGGATGACAGAAGCTGTACCAGCTTCCTCTCCTCAGGTGGGGCCACTGCTGCGGCGTCAGCCCTCTCAGGTGAAATACCAGGTTTCTCAGGTGAACTCAACGCGTATGCAACAGACGCAGCAGTGAACAGGCAGGGGCCGTGTGAGGCCGGTTTTGAGACGTTTCAAGGGAACTCAGCATCAGTAGGCAGGCTGGGTTTGAGTCAACTAAAAAACGAGGCCGGTTGTGAGAAGTTTCAAGGGTACTCAGCAGCAGCAGGCAGGCAAGGGACGCATGAGCACGATGTTGCAGGCAGGGCAGGAAACCACGGGTTGAGTCCCATTGCTGCTGCTGCTGCTGCCGCTGGTGCTGCATTCGCTAACGCAACAGGGTTTACCGCTGCTACAGGTACAGCTGCTGCTACAGCCGCTACAGCCACTACAGCTGGTGCAGCTGCTACAGCCGGAGCAGCTGTGACCATGTCATCTGACGGCAGTAAGATCTCCCTCTCCCTGGGCTCTCTCACCTCCCTCTCCTCCCCCTTCACCTCCCAGTCTCTTCCACCCTCCTCGCCTGCCCTTGTCCCCCACTCCGCTACCACTGCCTCCCCTGCCGCTACTGCTGCTGCCGCCACTGCTGCCACAGCCCCTGCTGCTGCTGCTTCTTTCCCTGCCACTACTGCCGCTTTTGCTGGTAAGAACGCCGCTGTTGCTGGTGCTGGTGCCACAGAGGTTGCTGCTGCTGCTGCTCCTGCGCGTGGCTGCGTAAGAGAGATGAGGGGTGGAGATCGATTTGAGGGGGAGAAGATAGTGGAAGGGCATGGGGACGACAGATACGCGTCTGATTGGAGTGAGGGGGAGGAGGAGGAGGACGAGGAGGAGGAGGACGAGGACGAGGAGGAGGACGAGGAGGAGGAGGAGGAGGACGAGGAGGAGGAGGAGGAGGACGAGGAGGAGGAGGAAGAGGAGGGAGAGAGGGAGGTGGTAGTGGATACAGAGAAGGAACTGGTAAGCGAAGGGGAAGCAGGGGGTGGTGTTTATGCGGCATCGCTGGTGTCAAGCTCGTGTGCGGATTCGGAGGAGGGGACAGAAGTGGTTATGGAGGACGAAGGTGCGGAGGGCAGGGAGAAAGAGCAGAGGGCGAGGAAGGAGGAGCAGGTTAGGCAGCAGCAGCAGCAGCAGCAGTGGGAGAAGAAGCAGCAGGAGAAGCGGGAGCAGCAGATGCAAGAGCAGCAGAAGCAGAAACAGCAGCAGCAGGAGCAAGAGGGGCAGAGGGGCGAGGAGGAGCGGGAAGCAGGCGAGCGCAGCAGTGGGCGCAGGCAGAGGAAGAGGTGGGGGGAGCCCGGGGGAGACAGTGTGCTAGCAAGAGCCATAGAGCAAGCTTTGCCAGGCAGCAGACGCCGCTCCACCTCCCCCCTCAAGGTCCCTTCCCCTCTCGATGAGCCCACCTCCCCTCTTCATGAGCCTGCCTCTCCGTTCAGGTCTACCTCCCCCAGATCTACCTCCCCTTTCAGCCAGTTGTACCCGCCCGCAGCCAGGCTCCACTCGCCCAAGTCCGCGCTGCGATCGCCTGCAGGCAAGTCCATGCTGGTCAACTCTGCATTGACCAAGTCAACGCTGCCAAAGAGCAGGTCTACCTCCCCTCAACGCACCTCCCCTACACGCACCTCCCCTACACGCACCTCCCCCACACGCACCTCCCCCACACGCCCCTCCCCCACACGCACCTCTCCCGTCTCCCCTGCGCGCACCTCCAACCGTTCGCTGAGGCGCACCGTCTCCCCTATAAGCATGCTCGCTTCTCCGTTGAAGCGGCTCCTTGTGCCCGATGGCAAGCGGAGCAGGTCCCCCTCTCCCACTGGCCGCTTACCTTCTCCTGCTGCCCCTCTCTCTCCTTCTGCTGCTCCGCGCTCTCCTTTCGCTCCCCACTCCCCTGCTGCTCCGCGCTCTGCTGCTTCTCATCTCTCTGCTGCCATCGCGTCTGCTCGCTCACCCTCTCCCGCGCCCTCGCCTGTCGCTCGGTCGGCCACTCCTGTTGCAAGGCCGCGGGGGCAGGCAGAGGTGGGGAGGATGAAGAGGAGGGGTGGTAGTGATGGTCGCGGTGATGGGAGGAAGGATAATGGTGTGGGGAATGGCAATGGCGCAGGGACTACCAATGGTGGCGGGAATGGGAATGACACAGGGGTTGGAAATGGTGGTGGGAACGGCAACTGGGGAAGTGCTACAAGCTGGGAGACGGAGGAGAAATTGGTGGTTGTGGAGGGGAGTGCGAGGACAGGACGGAAAGGAGGGAGAGGGGAAGGTGCGTTGGAGGGGAGAGGGGAAGGTGCGTTGGAAGCAGGAAGGGGGGAGGAAAGGAGGGATGCCGTGGAGGCATCGGCGTGCGATGTGGGCGGGATGCTTGAGAGGAGGAGCAGCAGCAAAGGGGAGCGGAGCAGCAGTCGGGGGGGAGGAGGGAGGAGGGGCAGCAAGAGCAGGGAGAGGGTGAGGAAGGGTACGTGGACGAGTGGGGAGTGGGAGGTGTTTCAAGGGCCAGGGAGCGACGATGAGGATGATGAGGAGGAGGAGGAAGAAAAGGAGGGAGATTCGGGACGTCAGATTAGAGGGAGATCACCTGTACCGAGACGAACGGCGTCCATGACGTCAGCTGGGAGCAGCGTGACGTCAGCAACGTCCAGAGGCAGTGCTTTCAGGCGTAGAAGCGGAGGGGGTGGCAGCAGCAGAAGCAGGAGTGGCAGCCGGAACAGGAGGGGGAGCAGGGGTGATGATGGGTCCAAGAGTGAGAAGCAGATTGGAAAGGTTGAGAGAGACGAGGAGAGAGGGAAGGAGAACGAGGGGGAAAAAGAGTGGAAGAGAGAGAGCAGGGTAGTAGCAACGGAAAGCGAGTGGGGGTTGAAGCCTAGGAGGCGACTCAACAACAGCAGGAGCAGCAGAGACACCAACCACAAAACGCGAGGTAGCAGGGGAGCGGAGAAGGAGGAAAGGGGTGGGGAGGAGCAATCGCCTGATGGTCACAATGAGCAGGCCAAGGGAGGAAATCGGACGGCGAGGAGGAGGGGGGAGGGAAAGGGGGGAGGGTGCAGCCCTGGCAGCACGCAGCAGGGCGAGCAGGGGAAGGGCAGGAAGGCCCGAGGCTCCCCAGTGGAGGACGAGCACTCTCCCAGGTCAAACCGGTCAACCAAGTCAAACCGGTCAAACCAGTCAATGCAATCAACGGAGGTGGTGAAGCAGATGATGCGGCAGCCAGTCTTTGGGTCCCTCTCTCCAGGTGATGACGTGGTTGGAGGAGATTTGCTGGGGCTTGAGGCTAGGACCCCGAGCCTGGAGGCCAGGAGCCCGAGCCTGCCACGGAGATCGCGGAGCCTGAAGAAGGAGAAGAGGGGCGGGCGGCGGGCAGGCGGGGCTGAGGCGGAGGCAGCAGGGAGGGCGGGGGAGAGAGATGCGCAAGGTGGGGCCGGGGGTGGGGAAACGGACGGGGTTAGGGTTCAGTCCATTCTCTGCAAGAGCAAGTCGCCTAGGGAAGCTTATGAGACACAGCAGGTCACTCCTGGTGGGCATGATGGTGGTGGTGGTGGTGCAGCAGCAGAGGGTGAGCTTATGCCCGAGGCAGCTGGAGAAGGCACAGGTGGTGCTACTGTTAGGAGGAGGGCAGAGGGCTACCCTGGGAATGCTGATCGGGGTGTTGGAGTAGGGATTCTTGGGAAAGATGATGCAGCGAGGAAAAAGGAGAAGGCTGGGGGGTTGGGCAGGAGGGAGGAGGGTGGGGGAGAGGTGGAGGGTGGGGGGAAGAAGGAGAGGGCGTGGAGGAAGGGGAGTCCGTTTGGGAAGAGGAGGACAACAGGAGTAGTGCAGGATTCAGAGCGACAGGAAGACAAGTGTGGGGTGGATGGAGGGAGAGGGGTAGAGGAACAAGAGACTCGTAAGGGGGAAGGGCACAGGAGCCGGAATCCGTTTTCCAGTGGGGATGAAGGTAGGAGCTCTGACGAGGGGGGTGCAGATGCGGCTTTGGATATAAGGGCACCTGAAAGGCTAGAAACCGTGACATCTTTTTCAAAGAAAGGGGACGTCAGGGCTGCTGGGGTAGTACTAGGGGGCAGTTGGAGGCGTTAAAATATTGCATGTTGTCGGGAAGAAGGGTTAATATATATATATATGCATAGTATTGAATTAGTCTCCATATGACCCTGACGAATAATGGGATCACTTTGCTACGAATAAGTCTCCATAGGATTCAATCGAGGATTGCACAATGGGAGAAGTATACAAGACAAGGTTTTGCTACAATCTGTATGGATTGGATTTCAGGACTAGTCATCTACTGAGGGTGCATTCCGCTGTGGACACTTTCTCAAAGAAAGTGTCCACATCACTTTTGGCCCGAGTCGTCGCCCTCTAATGTCTCGGAACTTCATGTCCCAATCGATCGATGTACTGCGACCCACGGCGACCTCGCGAACAATTTTGTGTGAAGGAATGTGATTGGTCCGTTGTGTGAGTTGCCCACTCAACCTGCGCGTCACACGCACCTGGGCGGAAGGTCTGTGGGCGCGAAATGAGCGGGATGGTCAATAAATCCGAAGGAGCCTTGTGTGGCCAATCACGTTTCAGAGTACGCGTAGCTACTGAATCCGTCCCTATAGAGTGATGACCAGGTACATTCAGCATGGATTGACATTTCGCACCGCGTGCGATGGCTGGTGTGTGTTGAGTTGGCGTGCAATTAGCCCGCGACAGTTCCGCGTTTCACGCCACCCAATGAAAAATACTTTTTGCGACAAACAAGAGCGGTCCGGAATTCGGACACCTGGCAGCATATGCTGTAACTTCATGTCCCAATCGATTCAGACACTTTCTTTGAGAAAGTGTCCAGAGCGGAATGTACCCTGAGTTTGGATATGGGAACCATCTGTATTGTATTGGACCTGTGTTGTATGGCGTTCTGAAGTTGTGGTGTTCTAATGTTTTTCTTGCTTTCTTTGACGACGACACCTCCACGAATCATTTGATGTGGAAGGTGGTGGTTCTTGACTCGGTCAACCCCTGCGCCTCCAGAATACCGACTCGAATCTCCTGAGACCCTTACCTGGGCGACTACCTGAGTGACAGTTCTCGCTTGCGTGTCTCTTGTGTAGAGGCAGACGAAGTGGAGCGAACCAGGCGTTGTTTCGCGCATTCGAAAGAAACGAAACCGGAAACTCCTGAACCCCTGAAATACCTGCCTTCGCAACTATTGGCCCAGTGGACAGCGCAACTGCACCAACCACTAGCAGCACATCCTCGTCATTCCTATTCGCTCTTCGCTGTCGTTTATGAGTCGTGCATGGAGGGTTCCCACCAATGACACTGGTCGTACGGGGCTGGTTCGCTCAATGAAGTCGGTGCCACGAACCTCTGCGACAGAAGGCCCCTGCTCCAGCCCAAAGCCATCGAATCCCAATCTACCTTTCGATTCGCGCCAACACCGCACAGGGTTCCACCGAAACCCCCCGACATGCGCACGACACCCCATCCCACCCCACCGACGTCACCCCGAAATCTCCACCTTTTACATCTGCCCTCCTCCCAAACCAGGCACTCGCGTTCAGTCGCATGTCTGGTCTGGTCTGGTCTGGTCTGGTCTGGTGCAACGTGCTCTGCTCGTTCGCGAAGGACAAGGGAAGTGTCCACTGCAATCTTGTCGACCTGCTTTGTACCTATCGAGAAACCTGGCCATTTGCCCCAGTAACATAGGAGAACCTGCTATTTGGTCAACGCACCGCAGCTCCTTCTACGACATCGTTGTTTGAAAACAAGCGAACTTCCGAATCGCTTTCTGGTCTATCTGTTCCTGCTAGCGACTTCTGTGTCTCAGATAGTTCCTCTTTCTCTTTCTCGTGCCTTGCCGAGCGCGCTTCCGGATTGTCGCAAGCGTAGCGATGGCGACATTGTCGTCGTCGACCCGTTCGCCGCTGCTCGCGTTTCTCGTCGTCGCTGTGCTCGTTCTCGCGTCCGCCTCTAGCGCGTACGCGCAGTACTCGGGGAAGTTCGCCGTACGCGCTATAGAGAACGCGCTGAGGAAGAAGCGGCTGACGACGGCCATCACCTACTTTAGAAAAAGCGGTAAGCGTGTAGACCATCCTTCGAACCGCTTGAAAAAATGGTCCACGTGCTAAAAAGAGCCCGTAGTAAGTCTTCAAGCGCCCTTCGTGTGTCCTTAGTAGTCTTTCTGCGGTGTCTCGAAATGAAAGCAACGGGTAGAGAGACGACTTTTGAGGCGCCTCAACAGACGACATTCTACGGGGTAGATCCAAAACAAGACGACCCCGTAGAAGGTCTTCACGCGCCCCTCGCGTGCCCACGTCCCGTCTCGTGCAAGCCCCGTGCCGCTTCGTGCTCGCCGGATGCCTGCAACTCGCAAAGGCACGCGAGACCGTTTGACGCGATGCTGATAAGAGGTGACTTTTGAGTCGACTCGAAAGTCACTGGCAAAGGCACGCGAGAACGATTGACGCGATGCTGACATTGGGTGTAGCGTGCTTGTCTTCACGGTAGTGGCTGCGATATTTTCGGCGGCTACCGGTGTAAGCATTTGGCTGACAGGCACGTCGAGTGCCGATACGACGAGACACGTGCCAAGTCCCATTTGCGAAAGGGCGAATCTGTAACCTCGCAAGGTCCTTCGCTGGCATACCTTTTTTCACAGCGTTGCTGCTCTACTGTTCATCCGTTCATCAACCACCGAAAACCGTGTCGTTGTTCCGTGGTCGTTGAGTCTGCTTCCGGCAACTCCCTCCTCCACATGGCTTCGCTGTTATGTTCCTTGATGCTGCACTTTCTGTTACACTTGTTCCAACACCATTCGTTGATTTTATTCATTTCCTTTATACCGCAGGTTTCAACAACACTCTTGCGGAGAGGCTGCCCACGGGCAAGTATACTTTTCTGGTGCCAATCAACAGCGGATGGAACAAGATGAGCGCCTGGGCGCGCGGGCAGATACGAGGCAACAACACGCGGCTGTGGCAAATCTTCTCTTATCATTTCATCAAGGAGCGGTACACCAAAGTGCAGCTCGCGTGGTATCCGCCTGGAACGGAGGTCCGTGTTTTACTCATGCCTTGGTATATGTTTTCGGAGTACTGTACCTATGTGCACCTTGCATGGTTATCCGGATGGCATCGTGATGCATTTATTTGAAAGTTTTGTTTCGATACTATGGGAGAACAGGATAGCAACTTGATGAAGGCTGTATTGTCATGTCACCTCCTGTATGCGCTCCAAATACTCCATGAACTCTACACCCATTCACCACAGGATCAGCTCTCTCATGCAGTCATGTTTCTCAGTTCTGAATGGTATGGTACATTCTTTCATGCTTGCACCTGTTCCATTTCTACTCCCTCCTCCCATGTTGCTCTAATTATGCAGTTACCAACAGGGATGGGGAAACAGGTCATACGCCGCCTGCCCACGAAGGACCCCCAGTATGCCAAGCCGGGGCAACATCGGGGAACATTTATCGATATGGGGGAAATTTTCCAAGATGGCCATGTAATCGTGCATGGGGTCAACAACGTCCTTGTTCCTAATTTCAAGTGATGTTCTTAAGTCTAGGAGTTGTGATTGATAGGTTGGTGGGTCATCTTATAGAGCAGCTACGGTACATGCAAGGATTTTGTACATTTAGGGAGCAGTATTCTTATTTTTTTAGATGGTGCTCTGCTCACTGTATTTGTACTGTTACGATATGAAGTTTTATGAGGAGGCATTCCTGTATGCTGCAGGAGCCGACTCTACCGAGTACGAAGTCGAGGAGTCAGAAGAGTCGAAGCGACGCAGCAACCGTCTGACCAAGACCGATGCAGGCAGAAACATTTGAAGTCAAAAGAGCGGGAACAGGTTTGAAACGGGTTCCCGCCAGGGCCTCAGATTCACTTTTAGGGTCGTCACCCCATCAGGGTCCCCCTGCGTGTTAACTCTGATTTTCAGTGTCCCAAAAAAAAAAAGGCTGAAATGTCAGTGTTGCGAATTTTTAAAGTCTGATGCATCAGTGTACCTTTTGCAAAACCACTGACTCTATTTTAAAGTCCTACTTTTAGATGGCGGAAACGGTGGATGGGCTGGGCGGCGTGGAGGATGGCACGGTGCTTGCCAGCACAGCCCAAACATAACGCATCGCACATGATGGGTACGGGGCAGGAACCTTGGCAACCCGCCAGCACCACATATCTGCCACGTTCGGATTCGCCAACACTGGATGCTGCAGCGAAACGGCCCAATGGTGTGAGACGCCCCGCCAAAAAAACACCTCTCAACGTGAACCTAAGGCAACATTTCTAAGGGTGGTCCCGCCACGGGGTGCCTACATACAGGGAATCTGAGATTCCCTGCAATTGCGGTCGAGGTGACATGGCACAGATGAGATTCGCTTTCAGTGTCGGTTTCGTTACAACGTAGTGGCATCAGTGTACAACGGGAAAAAAACCTGAAATATCAGTGTGGCCAATAAAAAAACGCTGAAAGATCAGTCCTACAAAAATCCCAACTCTGACTTTTCAGGGTAGCTTGAAAACCGGCTGCCAAAATCAGGAATTTCAGGGTTTTTTTCCTGATATCTGAGGCCCTGGTTCCCGCGCCGCACGGTTTGAATTTCGCCGCAATAAGGGAATGTACCCCTTAGAGTACATGGCTAGTCTAGGTCTTTTCGTATTCCCTTGTATTCTTATATAAACCCGATGTATGCATGCTTTTATTAACTCAGTCATTTACATTCACTCTGACCTGAGATTCAAACTTCCGCTGCGAAATTGTTGAGGTGAGTACAAGTAGGGGAAACCTAACCGTAAAGTGTTGTACTCACTAAGGAGTGACCCTACTGTAGCCTAGAGATACAATTGTAATCTGACACACCCCCATAGGCAAAATAGGGGACAGCAAACACAACAAGCGGTCACAAGACCAGTCTGCAGAAGAGAATACAGCTCAGGGTGGATCACAAAGTCACCACGCATTCTGAGCACAAGCAAGTGGCCACAAGGCCAGTTCACATGCAGAGGTATATAATAGCAAGGCAGTACACTGATCAAAACCTAGCAAGAGAAAACATGCAGGTATAAAGATATATAGCAGTGTACAACAAGAGAAAGTCAAGCAACCAACAGGTGAGGCAGAGTGGGCACAAGCCCAAGAGCAGTGCAGAAACGGTGATGATCACCAGCCCCAAGGGCCTTGGTGAAGACATCAGCAGTGTTGGCCCGAGAGGCCACGTAAGCAAGGCGCAGCTGACCACGCTGCTGCAGCTCACGCGCAAGGAAGTAGCGAAGAGCAATGTGCTTCGTTCTGTGCTCCAGTCTCTGCTCGCGACACAAGGAAAGCATTGCCTTGTTGTCGACGTACAGAACTGGAGGAGAACGAGGCCGCTCCCCCAAGTCGGTCAGCAGGTAGGTCAGCCAGCGTAGCTCCTGTGCAGCCATGGCCCCAGCGTAGATCTCGGCCTCACAGCTGGAACCAAGCACAGAAGAAGAACGAGTGGACCTCCACGAGACAGAACCAGCGCCAAGACTGAAGGTGTAACCCTGTGACGAACGCTGAGTCGTCTGGTCGTCGGCCCAAGAAGCGTCAGAGTGCAGAGTGAGGACCACCGAACCCCGTCCTCCAAGCACGAGCCCCATGCCCGATGTGCTGCACAAGTAACGCAGTACCCTCTTCGCAGCATCAAAGTGCACCTTTCGGTGTCGACCAGGTGCCACGTAGCGAGCCAGGAGGCTGAGAGGGTACGCGAGGTCAGGTCGTGTGCACGTCATCAGGTACATGAGGCAACCCACAAGCTCTGGGTACGGACCACTCGGCTCTACGGACTCGTCCGAAGGTGGAGCTGAGAGCGAGTGGCCGGTAGACAGAGGAGTGGGCTGTGGCGAGGACCAAGTGAAGCGGAAGCGCTGAAGGACCTGGTGCACCATGTGTGACTAAGTGAGGGTGATGGTGCGCCGTGGTCTGTCCCGGGTGATCTGCAAGCCAAGATAGCTCCGCAGCTCACCCAGGTCAGTGCAGGTGTGTCTCTCCTGCAGCTCCGCCTTCACTAGGGCCAGTGCCTCAGTGTCAGCAGTAGCAAAAACCAAGTCGTCGACGTACACGAGGATGTAGAACGGCGGCAGAGTAGTGTCGGTGCGTAGAAACAGCGTCGGGTCAGCAGTCGAAGGAGCAAACCCAAGAGCCGCAAGTGTCGTCCTCAGTGTGTCGTGCCACTCACGGGGCGCCTGACGCAGGCCGTACACTGGTCGCCGTAGGCTCCACTGGGTACCCTCAGGAAACGACCCAGTGAAGCCCTGTGGACGGCGCAACCAGATGGCCTCGTGAAGGCTACCCTGCAAGAAAGCTGTCGAGAAGTCGAGGGAGTGCAGCTCGTAGTCACGCTGAGCTGCAACGTGTAGCAACACCCGAAGAGTGGTCATCTTCGGGGTGGGGGAGAAGGTCTGAAAGAAGTCGACCCCCTCACGCTAACTGAAGCCTCGAGCAACGTAACGTGCCTTGAAGGCAGGCGGAGAACCCGGCGGCCGCTTCACCCTGAAAATCCACATGCCACTGACGATGTTCGCCCCAGGTGGGGGAACCTCGTCGACGTAAGTGCCTGTGGACTTCCAGGAAGCCATCTCTGCGTCCATGGCTGTCTGCCACTAAGAGGAGTACTCACCCGAAATCGCCTCCCTGTAGGAGCACGGGGTGGGGATGTCAAGTGCATCCGGGTCTCCCTCAGGGGCAAGCAGCATGGTCGCGTGATGGGGTGAAGCGGCAGCAAGGCACTCCAGCTCCTCATGTCTGTCCTCAAGAATGTCACAGCCAAGGGCAGTACAGCCAAGAGCAGTCTCACCCCCGACGGACGGAGGACAGGCAGGGAGAGGGTCAGAGACAAGACTCGCAAGGTAGTCTAGGCGGTACACAGCAGCAAAGTCAACAAGCTCAGCTACTAGGGCAGACGCAGCAGGAGACGAGAACGTAGGGTCCGTCACAACCGTAGCAAGAAGGCGAGTAACAGTCGGACTGGACGCACGAGCAAGGTCAGACGGAGGGTCAGCAACGTCAGGCAGAGAGGACGCAGGAGGTAACGGTAGTACAACACGCTGAGGAACAGAGGAAGGACGGAGTGTCATATCGTGAGTGCCGGGGACAGCCGGAGCACGCGGACGACGAACACGAGGAACACGAGCACGGACAGCAGCTCTAGGCTCAGGCTCAAGGTCAAAGCTAGACTCAGGCTCTCGACGCTCAGGGGTGGAAGCACGAGTTTCAGGCTCTCGACGCTCAGTCAGGGACTCTGACACCGCAGTGTAAGGAGCAGGAGCAGGCAGTGGGGAGTGTGGTAGCAGCGGTGGCTGTGACTGGTCCGCTGGCGGACACAGCAACGGAGGAGTAGTACCTGCCACAGGGAAGCCAGTAGCACCTGGCGGAAGACTGAGAAGGTGGCGAAGAGCACCAGTAGCTCCCGTACCTCCAGCACGAGCAGCTCCTCCAGTACCCCCAGCAATACCTCCAGCACCAGTAGCACCAGCACCTCCAGCACCACGAGCTCCGACAGCGCCAGCACCTCGAGCACCAGTAGTACCTCCAGCACCTCCAGTGCCTCGAGCTCCAGCTCCAGCGCTTCCAGCACCAGTAGTACCTCCAGTACCTCCTGTGCCAGCAGCTCCAGTAGCACCTCCTGCACCTCCAGCACCAGCAGTACCACCTGCTCCAGCAGCTCCAGTACGACCAGTACGAGCACCTCCGGGACCAGTAGCTCCAGCACCTCCAGGGTCAGCAGCTCCCGCAGCTCCAGCACCAGGAGCACCAGCACCTCCAGTGCCACCAGCTCCAGTACCTCCAGCACCGGCAGCAGCCCCAGTACCCCCAGCACTAGCAGCTCCAGTACCTCCTGCACCAGCAGCACCTCTAGTACCTCCAGTAGTACCTCCAACTCCAGCAGTACCTCCAGCATCTCCAGCACCAGCAGCACCTCCTGGACTAGTAGCTCCAGCACCAGCAGGACCGTACCCTCCACCACCAGGATTGCCTCGCAGAACGACCCACGCACGAATCGCCTGCGGCGAGAGCGTCTCAAGGAGAGCAGGCTGCGGTGGCTGTCCAGCTCCAGTACCTCCAGTAGTGGTAGCTCTAGCACCTCCAGCACCAGAAGCACCTCTAGTACCTCCAGCTCCAGCACCTCCAGCACCAGCAGCAGCTCCAGTACCTCCAGCACCAGTAGTACCTCTAGTACCTCCAGTAGGACCTCCAGGCCTAGTAGCTCCAGTACCTCCAGCTCCAGGACCTCCAGAAGGACTCGCAGCACCCCCAGAGTCAGCACCCGAAGTCTCAGCACCCCCAGAGTCAGCACCCAAAGTCTCAGTACCCTCAGTCCCAGCACCCTCAGGCTCAGCACCCTCAGTCTCAGCACCCTCAGTCCCAGCACCCTCAGGCTCAGTACCCTCAGTCCCAGCACCCTCAATCCCAGCACCCTCAGTCTCTGCTCCAGTGTCCACAGCAGTAGGCTGCAGAGGCGGCGAAGACGGCAGAGGTGGGAACCTGGGGGGGGTAGCCAGACGAGGAGTGTGGCGAGTGGTCGTCGT